CGCGCATTCCTTCACATGGCAGAATTCCGAGACATTGCAGGTGGCCCAATAAAGACGACTACCATTGGGGATGTCCGAGCTGTAAGAAGAACTACGGTGGGAACAGGCTTGGGCACGTACTAACGCCTGGCAAATGCAAGTTTGCCAAGCCCTGGAAGTTGCCCGACAATCGTGGACAGGTACCACCGGTTCCTGCCGAGCCGGCAGCAGGACTTGCACCGCTAGCTCCTGCTGAGCCAGCAGCACCACCCTGAGGCGCCAGCCGCATTGCCAATCACGCAGCTAAGAGCACCAAGACCCGGCTCAAGAGCTGGACCTACAGCGGGTGCGAGCAGTCACGACATTACTGTAGGCAGACATGCTTCTGATTTTGCTGCAGGGCAACCTGCCTCGAGCGGAGCTTGTAGTTCGGATGGCCATCTCCGACTGCCGCAGGTTAGAGTCAGACGTGGTCGACAGCAAGGTGGAGAAGCACCTCCTTCAGCACTGGCGGGCAACCCTGCTGCGCGACCACGACTACCAGACTGGTCACGGTTCGACGTACAAACCAGTCTACAAAATTTACGAAACCTTGACCCCAGCGCGGTAACACGCGAGATGCGGAAGTTACGCTTGCGCTGGTCCCATGCGAAAGAGCCAGAGACGAAACTCATCTTGAGCAAGACAAATCTGGACAATGTCCGACTCAACCTGATCAACGGTGTCTGCGACACATGTTGGGAGTGCAGAGCTTGGGACAAGCCTGGGCATGCTGTTATTTCCTCCACCGCGCTGCCTGGCAAATTTAATGAAGAAGTGGAATGTGATCTGATGTTGTACAAACAAGAACACAACATTTTCCATATCATCGATCGCTGTATACGATATGCTATTGGGATTGAGATGCCAGACAAGACTATTACAAGTATCCCGGATGCATATCATCAGTGCTGGATCCAGTTCCGACCTGCAAAGGTATTCTACTCCGACGAAGAGGGTGCCCTTAACAACGACGCTGCGAAAGCAGTCCTCAAGGCAAAAGGCACTGAACTTAGGATACGTGCGCGTGGACAGCACGCTGCGACGATCGAAGCCAGAAATGGCATCCTGCGCCATATACTTCACGTCGTGGAAGCTGAACCCAATAGGTTGGACATACCTCTTGTGTTCACACGGCTACTGCACGAGGCCTTATTCGCCGCCAGCGTGTTCACCTTCTATAGTGAGGTGTCACCATAACGCTCTGTTTGGACGGCAACCAGCAGTGCTTCCGGACCTGCCTGTCCTGGGCCACGAGTAGCCGGCGGAAACGTCGGACCATTCTCGTGAGCAGACGATGCGCAGGGTATGTATTGAAGCTATCACACAGGCAACATCACTAGCTAATACCAAACGTGCCTTACGCACTAAGACGACTAGTACTGGTCAGCACTATTACGATGAAGGAGATTTGGTATCATCGCCCCACGACCGCGAAGGATGCCTGGGGAGGCTGGAGTGGCCCATTCCCGGTTGTAAAGAATGATCCCGAAAGGGGTCGAGTCATCATGCGAATGGGCAATCGGGGTGTTCGAGTACAATACGGCGATGCAATACATTCACTATATATTGAAGCACTGACAGCCGGAGAAATTGGCTCCGACAGTACGGCACTACGCACAGTGTTGGCATTCGTGGTCAGTTTAGCCGCGGGGAGGACTGCTATGACCTTTGGCTATGTGCCGACCAAGAAAGGGGCGCTTCAGGTGACGAGTGCAAGCCGTCTGTCTCCTAAGGTACATCTAGCTTTACAGTACCTTATCAGAAACTTCTTCCGCATTGAGAATGTAGTTTCAGTCAGGCTAGCCAAGCGTATTCATAAGCTACCTCCGGTTACTTATGCTGACAGCTGCACATTGGTCCACTATGACAACGACGTGAATCCAGGATTTCATTATTATGAAGCAGAAGGTACTGCACTGAATATACAAGATAACTGGATCAGCACACTCGAGAATTATCCAATGCCTGAAGTCCATTATACTTCAAACAGGTCATGATTAGGACATGACAAGATTTGAGGAATTGGCGAATACACCGGCACTGGAGGGAACCACAAGAGAAGCCTCAGACGCCGAACTACCACATGATGATGGACGGGTTTCTACGATCTACGAAGAATCAGAGGCTGATCTCGAGTCACATTATATGGAAGTGTGGTATGCAGAACTACAAGAGGAAAGGGGACTCCTGGAGGCAACTTCACCAGAGGACCTCTTGACCATACCTGCACAGATGGTTCCAGACCAAAGTGTGCTGATCATTGTATCTGATGAGCAGCGCGGACACCTGCCGAAGTGGGGGCGCACTCGCGACTCCGACGCCGAGGAGACGTACTACGTCCCCATGTGCACCATGGACGAATACGACAACTACGGACTGGACTCAGACGAAAATGGTCAATCTGTCGAATTCTGCTTTACGGCAGAAATGTCAAAGGTTGTCCTGCCCGAACAACAACATCTGCTACTAGATGCCGACCGTGTGACCACTATGCGAGTGTACGTAACCGCCGCTGCAAAGCGAGCTGTGGTCGTCAAGGAAGACGACCTCCTCGCGAAAGCTGACATCCAGGCGAATCCCGATAAAGTATCGAAGGCCCTCTACACTGAATTCAAGACATGGTCCGACAACAAGTGTTTTAATATGCCAGATATAGCTGAAGCGTCGAACATCATGACTTCGACAGACGCGCGCAAATGGAAGTTCGTGAAGAACGAGAAGGGCGAGATGGAACGTACCATCAGACTGCGCCTGGTAAGCAATGGACCATTGCTTCCCTCGACATCAACATGGCCTTCCTGAAAGGGTTGACATATCGGGGACTTGCTGAGCCTCCTGGTGAAAAGGAACCTGCGGCGTGTTTTACTCTACCGCCTGGATTGGCCACGGCGCTCCGAACTCTCCCAGGATTCGAACACTACGACGAGTCAAAGCACCGCCTGCAGTGCTTGAAACCAGGCGCGGGCACCAGAGACGCACCGCGGGCTTTCTCATTGAAGCTCAGAAGGACCACCAGAGGTTCTGGTCTCCGACCCGCGTCCTACGACGAGGAGTTCGAGACGAGCAACAACTTGCTCACGACCAAGCACGTTGATGATATCAGTATGGCCGGCACTGAGGACACCATTGACAAGTCTGTCAAGTGCGTAGGAGACACTTTTGGTAAATGTAAACGCAACAAGCACACATGCACCAACTGTGCTGTGATATACACCAAGGATGAGGACGGCTATGTCACTCTGGGCCAAGATGAGTACATCAAGCAGCCCCGTCCTATACAACATCCTGAACTTACCGGCGCCGACGCCGACGCTCAGGCATCCAACATGTTTGCAGACGTGTTCGTTAGCCTCGGGGGCGCGCTGGCGTTTGCATTAATCACCCAGGTGCGGTTGATGGTGCATGTTGTATCTCTACAACGTGTCCAAGAACCGACCAACATCCAAGTGCGACGACTGTGCGCGATCACCAGGCAACTACAGGCCTGCCCAAAGAAGATCGTCTACCAGGCGATGACTCCTACGGGCGAGGTCGACCTGCATAGCGACTCAGGATACCGACGCCTGAGTGGAGACGCCGACGACGACGTCAGAGGCTATGGTATTCGCGGGGCAAACCTGCTACGACGTGGAAACACGTCATCCGGCAAACCTGTCGTTCATTTAATCGATGCGCATTGCAAGGCTCACCGCTTGCAGGTCCACTCGGGCTATTCAGCAGAGACGCTAGCAGCAGCCCATAGCGTGGATGACTGTTATCCCACGATTGTGACTCTGCACGAGCTCCACGCAGGGCCGCTCACGCCCATTCAGTTTAAAGATATACTTGTGTTGGGTGCCCTGAGCATCAAGGCCATTTTGACTATAGGTGCTGAGTATGTTTTAAGTCCTTGTCAAACAACGACTTGAACAAGCCGACTGAGTGTACCCTCTTAGGACACATCAGCTGGATACGACAGATGATGAAACGTGGGATCGTGCACAGCATCCAGTGGTGCGACACCCGCGATATGACCGCGGATGGTCACACCAAGGGGAGCATCGACAGAGAAATGCTCCTACATGTCATGGGATGTATACAGGCCTTCAAGCATGACCTGAAGAGTCATACTTCGTATCGGGCCGGCCAGACATCCAGTTCTGACGCCGTCGAGTACAACAAACTGTACAAGCAAGGCGACTTGCGAGCGGGCCCACCTTCCTGCTGGTCCGCCCCTTTTTTCTGTCCTGCTGTGCCTGCTGTATGGGGGCGACGGGCTCACGCTTCGTCTCCCTCCCCTCCCGATTCTAAAGCGAGCTGAGGGACGGAAGGAGCGGAAACGAGCGTGCGCCCGTGGCCGCGTCGGCTCAAGCGGCCAGCCGCCCAAATTTGACTGTGCCTCACCGCGAGGCACACAATCGCTAAAGGATCTTCCTATTGCTTAAGATGGCACATCCTCTCTTGTTGGGACTATCGTTATTACGGTACAACAGAGCTGGAGCCTGGCTTCGCCTAAAGCGAAGCTGCTGGTTGGGCCTCCCGGCCCCCTTCAAACTGAGGGGACGACGGAGACGCAGGGAAAGAGGACAACGGATGCGTTTAACGAGCGCACGCCAGCAGGGGGTCCACACGCCGACAGGGCCGGTGGATTTCAGGCCCCCCCCCCTCAGGAGGCCAACGTCAAAGATTTGTCTTTCCTCGCTGAGGCACCAAAAGGCCTTCTGACACCTCGCGGACCCTCCCTTCCAAACCCAGGGGTAGGGGGTGTGGGGGAGAGGTAAGAAGGGGGTTGGAAGATGAACATCCCTAAACCACTCACGCCCCAAAGGCCTAAAAGGCTGGTGGGATTCAACATCCTAGGCCATTTGCGGCCTGAGGGCCAGTGGGATTTACATATGTATCTAGTCTTGCCCACCCCTGGTTGATCCTCTTTCTGTCCCCTTCCCTGCTGCTCTTTACCTCCAACCCTCGCCATGATCTCGTTAGCCAGTGGTGGGCAGGTGATCATCGGGACGCGTAGGGCCGATGGCGTTTCCACGCTGGAGGTGCTCACAGAGGCGGCCCGGTGAAACTAGCTCTCTGTGCGACGGTGGGGAGGGCAGACGTGGAGATGCAGGGATGTGGGAAACGCGAGACGGGATAAACGAGGATGAACATGAACCCGGGGTTTTTGAAACCGCACATCGCGTGTTATGTGGCTGGCTGGGTGGGTGAGTGGGTTCGCTTTCACATAGCATAACACAGTCGTGCCCGGCCGCTTGAATGTTTTTTCTCAGCAGCGTTCCTCTTGTTATTCTGGGTACAGATGTAGCGAAATGGCCTGGCAGCTGCGATCTCCACGTGGCGTGTTGACACCGCAATGCTCGCTCTCAACACGCGCGCTGATGCAGCAACCTGCGCATACACCACATCGCATGTGTACATCACAATGACGGGGTGCACGGCAGTGCCGTTGTGCACCGCAGCGCCTGTGTACACAACGGCAAATGCGAACGTCACAACGCCTCTGCACAACACAGCTGCGGCCACACAAGCACGTCCCGCGTGCACCACAGCGCCTATGTGCAACACGATCCGCGTGCACACCTCAGCAGCCGCGCGCAGCGCGGCAACTGGCGCCTGCGTGCACCCCACTGTATATGTACACCACAGAGTCCGCGTACTCTTCGGGGGTCCCGACGATGCCCATAAACCGAAACTCGTGGTCGTATGGGGGGGTGAGGCCCGAACGTATCACATTGAATCTGCAAGTTTGTTGTGGTCATTGTTTTTGGGCCGCCTGGATACTCTGGCAAGTTTTTTGAGCTGCGTGCGGCTGCGGCGACGAAGATTCCTCCAGAGGGGAAGGGCCCTTGGCGCCTCGAGTTCACTTGCGCTGCGGTTTCGTCCGAAAAGCCCAAAGGGCCTCCAAGAGGGGAACCACCAACGGACAGTTTGAGCATTCCCCCCCAAATGCCCCCAGGAGGCCCCGAAAGGCGCCGAAGAAACCCTTTGAGAGGTCCAAGATAAACCCAAGAGCGCGCCCAAGAGGGCAACAAAAGCCTCAAATCCTTCCCTTCCCCTTATTGCCCCCCGCACCTCCCCGTCGTCCTCCTCGTCCTCCTCGTCCTCCTCGGCCTCGTCCTTCTCGTCCTCCTCGTCCTCGTCCTCTTCGTCCTCGTTCTCGTTCCCGTCCTCCTCTCCCTCCTCCTCCTCCTCCTCCTCCTCCTCCTCCTCCTCCTCCTCCCCCCTCCTCCTAGCGCCCAGGGTCGGCGGCACCAGCCGCAAATCCTTCCCAGTAAATTGGTCACTGCGTGGTCACAAGGTGGCCACTGCGCCGTGGTCGGCGCGATGGTATTGTGTGTGTTGTATAAGATACAATGAATTTTTCGGGCCTCCACCTCTCACCCCTTCCCCCCCCCCGACCTTTACCTTGGACATCGGGGGGGGGCGGGGAGCAGCAGATGCGCCGTCTGTATAACGAGTTATGCATGTGTTCTCCGTCTCAAGTTCTTTGGGGCTCAAGCGTTCATGCAGATTTCGCTTGAGCTCGAGTCAGTCTGCTCGACTTCTCCCTCTCGCGCGGGCAGTGCGATATCTTCTGCTGGCTCGTCCTGGGAGCTGGTGGGCTCTGAGTGTGGGCATCGCCCGATCTTCTTTGCAGGGCAGGCGCTGAGCCTGCCAGAAGGCGGGGGTCGAATCCTCGCGACGGCGCGCTGTGGCGGGCCGCTCCTGGTGTTCCTCTGGACGCTCGTGACCGTGGTCCGTGATCCTCCGAGCCTCGAGGAGGAGCCGCTGGAGGGTGAGGACTTCACGCCCGAGCGGGTTATGCCAGTGGAGGTATGGAGCAGGCGCTACTATCGCCGGAGCGCGACAGATGGTCTGGAGATTTTCCTAGTTCGACGGAAGACTGGGAATTGCTGGGCGGCCCTGCTGCCCGATCTCTCCATGGGCACCATCACGATCACTGCGAAGACTACGGTCTTCTCCGACCCCGTGCCAGGCATCCGCTGGCAGGCGCTTCCCGCACTCACGCAGGTGCAGAAGAACAGTTTCATGCAGCAGGCTACGGACGGTCTGCGGGCAGGTACTATCCCAGCGCTGGAGCTGTACCGACCGGGTCGTCAGGCCCAGCAGGCTGTCGCCGTCAACGTGGTCTATGCTATGGCCAGCTCTGCTCGCTCTTCGCTGCGTACTCTGCGGTGGGCGTTGCGCTCTCCGTACCGTGTGCTGGGCCTGCTGGCGCTGGGTTTCGTGCTGTTCGAGGCTCTGAAGTACCTGGGGGTGGTGGATATGATCGTGGAGACGTGGTCCGCGTTTGTGAGCTGGATGGTGGCCTGCAGGGACACTGTCATCGAGTCGTCCGAGACAATCCAGGAGTGGGTGTCCTACGGGGGCGAGTGGGTGGAGTGGGCCCGGAAGCTCATGCCGTTGCGGCGTTGGGCGGCCTTGCTGCTGGCGCTCGTCCTGCTCATGATCTGGGGAGCTCACGAGATGCAGGAGGCGGAGGAGACTGGTCACTCGTCGGTGGCCTCGTCCTCTGCATCATCTGTGGTCGGCGACGTCGGGGGTGCCTCGGTCGTGGGGCCTCCTTTGCCGCCACCTTCAGGGGCTCCTCCGCCCGTCGCTGCTGCTCCCGACCCCGCCCTCGTGGCCCAGTTGGACGACTTAGCCGAGTCTCAGAGGGCGATGGCCGCGGAGCTGAACGAGATCAGGATTGCCGAGCGGGCTCGGGAGCTGAGGCGCTCGGCGATGGTGTCGTCGAGCGCGGACCGTGGTGCCGAGGTGGCGGCTGCCAACCAGCTGCAGATCCAGTCCATGCTGAGCCGGCTCGACGAGTTCGAGGCTCGCTTGCAGGGAGGTGCCGTGGCGGCAGCGCCTGCGGGGGCAGCGGGAGCCTCCCCTGCCACGCCCGTGGGCACGGCGGGGGGTCCCGCCTCGCCGGCGCGCGGGGACGCAGCGGTGCCGATGGAGACTCCCGACAAGCGTGCAGCCTCGGAGCCTGCCGAGGCGGTGTCTTTGGCCATCAAGCGGATGAGGTTCAAGGCTCAGATGCCACAGCAGGTCTTCCTGGAGCAGCTGGAGGACTTCAAGGAGTACCCAGCCTCCGAGTGGGCGACGAGGATGCCGGAGGGCTACAGGGAGAGAATCGCGCCGGACGTTCTCTCGGAGGTCTACTCGACTGGGAAGACGGCGGAGGCGTGGGCGAGGGACTACATCAGGGATCGTGGCCTCGCCGACTGCAACACCGCGAGGGAGATGATCGCGACCTTCGCGGCCGTGGACACCATGCTCATGACGGACCGCCAGAAGGGGCTCTTGAACCAGGTGAGCTTCGAGAGGCTGGTGCGCAAGGGTTACGCTCTGGTGAGGGCCTGCCGCAACGTGCACTGCCGCGACGACTGGAGCAGGCCCAAGGACGCCAAGAGCTGGAAGTCCAAGGTCGACTGGGAGGCGGCGCGGCGCTTGGATCCGCAGCTGGCCGACGAGAGCACGATCAGGGTCATGAGTGCAGAGGAGGAGGTGAAGAAGGCAATGGGTCGAGATGCGCAGCTGATCAAGGCGCGCACGGACCTGGGCGGCGGGGGTGCGAGCCCGCCGTGAGCCCCAGAGAACGTTCCACGGGGCTGACTGGCGAAGGTCCGCCAGGGGCCCCTGCACGCGATCGGCCTCGTCACCGTGGCTGGTCAAGTTTTCTCGTCTACCTCTGGGTTTCGAGTCTGTGGGACTTCGGCAAGAGCGTCGGGTTCCAGCAGGTGATCTACTGCACGACGAATTGGGCTATTCATGTCGAGGAGGCGGGACGTCCTGTCGGAGGTGGTGCTCATCCCACGACCGGAGAGGCCGACGTCGAGCTCACGGCGGGTGCTCTCGCGCTGGCGGGAGGAGCTGGACGTCGCGCAGCGGGCCAATCGGTGCTTGCTGGGACTCCGCCAGCTCTATCGTGGGACGTTGGGCGACGAGCTCCTGCATCCTGGGGAGATCTGGGGTCAGGGGCCACTGCCCAGCACCATGGACGGGGACCTCTCGAGGCGTGTGCTGGAGGAGGTACGTCGCCTACCACCGCCTCCCTCGACGCCCGAGCAAGGAGCCGCGATCCTGCGGCTGCGCCCCGCCGCTACGGCGGCGGAGAACCAATCCCGGTCGACCTATGCCCAACGGTTGGCCGAGCTGCGGAGGAGGTGTGCTGGTGGACAGGTACGACTGCCAGACCGGGGCGAGACGTTTCCCGCCCATTGGGAGCGGGTCGCTCTTCCCCCTCCAGGCTCAATGCCGGTGAGTGCGAGGTCTGTGTCGCCGAGAGTGGCTCAGATGCTAGACGATTTTCGGAGGGAGATGCTGAAGGAGGACGGCGAGGAGTGCGTCAGGGCCGCGGAGGTGAAGAATTACGTGGACCCGCACTTCCGCCGCAAGAAGGACATGCTGATGCTGGCCAAGCGCATGGCGCTGGCTGGGATGCTGTGCCGCTGCGAATCGAAGGTGGACGAGGTCGGGCTCTTCTGTGTGGTGAAGAAGGCCGAGGTCGTGGACGGCGAGCCTTTGGTGTCATTGCGTTTGGTTTTCGATCAGCGGCGGTCCAACCTACGCTGGCGGGCGCCGCCGTGGTGTGCCATGGGCGGGGTCAGTGCCATGTCGTTTTTGGACGTGTCCGAGGAGATGACGGAGGAGGGCGCTCGAATGGTGTTTGGTACTGGCGACCTCCCCGACTTCTACTACACGCTGGACTTGGGCGAGGCGATCGCGCCCTACTTCGTGCTGCCTGGAGTCCGAGCTTCGGAGCTTCTCGACGTTCTCCCCTCGGACGCCTGCCTGAGCGGGTCAGGCGAGCACGTTGGTGTGCGTGTGGCGCTGATGGGTTTCTCTTGGGCCTGCTGGATGGCCCAGACGACTATGGAGGACCTGTTCAACTCTGGTCCCTCCATGGGGATGCCTGCCCTTGCCGAGGAGCAGCGTCTGGCAGAAGGCGGCCCGCTGCCCCTGATCAGTCGGGAGGTGCCTGCGGCGCACTACGAGTACATCGACGACTTCGGCATCATCGGGGTGGACTACCCTCCCATTGCCGACGCCGAGCCGCCCA